ATATTTATGATTAATTTTATTTCTATTTTTAAATCACATTTTTAATTTATTAATTATTTTAGTTCCTTTACATTATTTTTGAATCAAATAATCAATTTTTTTATCTTTTACTAAAAATTATTGAAATAAACATTTGTAATTTTTATATCAATTTGTGTTTATATGTTTTTGGGATTACTTTAATTAATTACATTTTTATATTTGTAATTATTATTGATTGGAGATCAATTAATAATAAATAATCATCATGTGTTTCACATGTTGATTGTTTCCCAATATTTTTCAACAATAGACGACTATATATCAATTGATTTGTTTGCAAAAAGTATAATGGTAACATGGAAAAGTTTCACTTTAATCCAATTGCACTTACAAACAAAACAATAAAATATTTTAAATCAATTAAAACGCTGAATTTACACCAATAATGATAAAACTTTTGAAATACTTTTAATTTAAATAATACTAAAGAAAATTTATTTGATAAAAAAGAGTTTTACAAAGTAAATGTTTTATACCCAGTTGACTATAACAAAGCTTATCAACACAAAATTTCCAATTTTGTTTTCAGAGATGTGTGTTACACTAAAACAAACAGAATTATATTTGGCGACTTTATTCCATGCGCCAACAACATTAGAATCACAAAACGATGTGTATTTTTGGATGTGACTTGATGAATTCTATAGAAATTCCCACAACAATTTCTTTAATTGGGTATAACGCATCAATGATTGTGAATAAAATTTATTCTATTCAGCTTACCATAAAACTTAGAAAATTTTGGGATTAATGTGTTTGGTATGTGTTTATCTTTACTTGAAATAAAAATTCCAAAATTAGTCAAAACCATTCCAAAGTTGTGTTTCACAAGGTGCACCAAACTTTCGCGTGTTGACCTTTCAGAGAATTTAATTGAAATTGGAGAAAAGGCGTTTTTCAATTGTAACTCTTAACAATCAAAAAAATTTAAGTGGAGTTTCTTATATTGGACAATCTGCGTTTAATGAATGTGAAAAGCTGAGTGAAATTATATTGCCAAATAATATTTCGAACATATCATATGGCTGTTTTGCAGGGTGTTCAACTCTTACTAAAATTGCTATTCCCGATATTGTCAGTGTTATAAACTCAATGAGTTTCTTTCAATGTAAGAATTTGCAGTTTTTGGAAATGCCAAAAAATCTGCAAGTGATTGGAAACGAGGCATTTGGTGAATGCACATCACTTGTTAGTATCACGCCATACAATACAATTGTATCGTAACGTAGAAATGCTTTTAGACATATTAATAAGTAAAGAGATGAACTGTTATATTTAATTTCTTATATTTATATTGCTGTTTATTTTTAAAGCAATTCTATATTGGAGTCAAAATTTATAAGATACAATTATTTTTATTGTTTTATCATTTCATAATGTTTTTATCTTATCAAATATAACATTAAATTAAAAATAAAAGCAATCTCGTTTTAGAAAGGTAAAAAGTTGTTATCAATGCACATAGAAAGCAACTTATTTGTTTACTTATAAACATCCAAATTTCTCAAAATTTAGTCACAAATTTCCAATATTATATACACCATCAACATAAATATTTTTCGGTGTAAATAGCTTTGTCTATTTTTTGTTTGTAATACGATTCTCTTTGGTGTTTTTAACTTGTAAAAAATGAGTTGCCTTTTACGCCACCACCAATTTTAAAACTTGTTTTATTGTTCCATTTCATTTAATATGCAAATTATAATTATATTATTACAGAAGGGGGAGTGAGGGGCTGACGA